AAGACTGTGCTGAATTTTCCAGTTGATGAGGATATCCCAGGATGTTCCAAGTTTAACCAATTACCACATTGCAGTGTGATCCCATGGTGTGGATTGTTACTAGATATACAGACACTTGAGGTCTACTGTGACTACTCCAGGTAAATAGACACTGGTCAAACTTTCTAGTATAAATAATATGCATTACGATGTACCAAAATATTATTTTTTGCTAATGAAAAAGGTGATCCACCACAAAATGAGTCTGATTAGTTCTGCCTCCTATACAATTTATGAGAACATTATCTTGGACAATAAAAGAGGCCTTTGTCTTCACTTCACTCTAGTTTACCATGTCAAATCCAATTAAGGTCACATTGACCATAAGTTACCACCTGACATCTATGTGGTTTTCAAGAAGTGTGTTTGATGGGCTGTTCAGTTTGAAGTGGACAACTTTGTATAACACCACAACCTCATAGCCTCACATGGTATTACTGGACATCTTGCTGGCATTCTGAATGGAAGTAGTAATGACTGAATGGACGTGGAATTTTAATTAATTTCCTGTGGATATTGGGGCTAAAGACATTATGAACTTCAATTATATACTCTTAAGGCTGAGTCATACTAATTGAATTGTATCATGGAAAATTATGGTGATACCTCCCATGTGTGTACCTGATCTCTGGGAAAACTATGGTTTCTGGGCTCGTCAGTCAGGCACTTTTCATCACTAAATATCATATGAAAAACATAATGATTCTGTTTCCACTCTCCCTTTTTGTATGTATGTAGGGGTGGGGATGTGTGTGCACTTTTTTTTTTTTTTTTGGTTCTTGGTTGTCACTCCTAATTTTTTCTTTAAGGAGAGAATACATTCATGGAAACTATACCTTGTGACTAAGGAGAAGGCCTAAGGAATAAGATTGTGAGCCAGTGTTTTAAAAGTAGGGATGGAAAAAGAATGGTGGAGTTCAATAGTATTTATAGAAAGCTTAGTGACAAAGGTTTGGTGAGAATCTAGTTTCAAGGAGAGAAAAAAGGAGGGTAATCAAAGACAACATCAAAGTTGCTAACTAGAGTGATTGCTGAAATAATGGGATTGTCATCTGTGACTGGAGAGAGAATTGCTTAAGTGGCCTGGGAAAATGTGACTGAGGCAGGGCACTTTCTTGGAGATCCTTTACTTGCTATGTCTGTTACAAGAATGCTCTGTATCTGTACGTAAATAAATAAGGTGCCAGCAGATGGCACTCAAGAAGAGGAAAAATTTTTCCTCAGATTTTGTAGGATCAACAAAGCTTGTTGATGGGCTCAGCAAATGGATTTTGCTTTGCAGCTCTTTATATGGAGCTCTTAAGACAGTGCAAGCAAAGAAACTCTTGACACTATGGTCCCACCCGCTATGAGGCAGGATTTGTTCACAACATTTAGCAAAAAAGCAGGGTTAGTATTGCAAAAATACACATCCCTAATGGTGCGTCTGGAATGTTAGGTCCAAGATTTTGAATGAGGAGTGGAATTTTAAATCCATTTTATATTCTAATTCAGCATAAGCCTTTCTTTTAGAAAGACATCCAGTTTTTTGATTTAAAGATTTCAGCCAATGGAGAACTATCCCGTTGCAACGGTTAATTACCCTTGCTGTTACAAAACTCGCATCTTATGCCTAGTCTGAATGTGTTTGTTTCATCTTTTGCTATTTGACCTGTAAGGCCTTCATCTACTTTATCAAATAACTTTGTAGGCAGTGATCAAATAACCTCTTAATCTCCTTTTAGATAAGCTATATAGATGGAGCTTTTAAAGTCTCTTGCTGAAAGGCAGGTTTCCAGATCTTGAATCACCCAAGATATTTTTAGAACTCTCTCCAATTTTTAAACACATTTTTACATTTTTATGACTCCAGAACTGTTCACAGTATTCCAGTAATAGTTTCACTACACTAACGGCATAGACAGAGATAAAATAACTTCCTACTTTCTACTTGATAATTCCCTCTTTATATATCCACAGGTCTGCATATTATAAGTATGGCCTACATTCTTTGCTCCTAGATGTATATACTAGGTAATATTAAAATGCATGGCCTTTTTAAGTGACCTGTTGTCCTTTTTACTTACCGCTGATTCTTGCATCATCAGCAAACAACTAGAAAAAATGTAAATTCAGTGCTAATAAGGATAGTGAGTATTACTGCACATAACAGATCCCTGCAGAACCCAATGCAAACATCTCCAGTGGATGATGATTTCCCATTTAATTTGTGGCTCTGCTGACCACTGCTTTAATAACAGTA